TCATTTCCTGTAGCTATTTGAGCGCGTGCCTCTCCTAAATAGCCCTGTGTGGACCGCAGCCGGAGCTATCTGGGGACCTGTTTTCAAAATAAATCAGCGATATTAAGACGTCTCTTCATCTTGTGTTTTGACGTTTCTGTAAGCCCTGGCTCTGTGTGTGTGCGTGTGTGTGTCTGTGCAAGCGTGTGTTGGCATTTGTGTGTCTGCGTGTGCGTATGTGTGCCTTTGTGTGTATGTCTGTGCGCATGCGTGTATCTGTGCGTGTGTGTCTGTGTCCATGTGTATGCATGTGTGAGTGTGTGGATATGTGTGTGCTTGTATGTGCATTTGTGTGTATGTGTGTGCTTGTATGTGCATTTGTGTGTCTGTGCGCATGTGTGTATGCATGTGCGTGTGTGTATGTCTGTGCGCATGCGTGTATCTGTGTGTGTGTGTCTGTGTATGTGTGTGCTTGTATGTTTATTTGTGTGTGTGCGTCTGTGTGTATGTATGTGCGTGTGTGTGAGTCTGTGCACGCGTGTTTGTATTTGTGTTTCTCAGTGTGCAGGTGTGTGTCTGTGTGTGTGGGTCTGTGTATGTGTATGTGTATGTATGTTCGTCTATGCTTGTATATGGTATGTATGTGTGTGTGTCTATGCTTGTACAGTATATGTATGTATGTGTGTGTGTCTATGCTTGTACAGTATATGTATGTATGTGTGTGCGTCTATGCTTGTATAAGTATGTATGTATGTGTGCGTATATGTGTGTGTGTGTGTGCGGGTGCTATCTGACTTAATAGCATTTCAAACGTCGTCTTGGATGTTTTTAGGTTTCCATAACTATATATTGTACATGTGGAGTACTTTATAATTTCTGTGCTGCACATTGTTATTTTGGATATGTAGTCCAAACCCTAAAGTAGGGCTTAAATGACAGATAGGTCAGACGCACACACACACACACACACACACACACAAACACACGCCGACGACATGCCGCCCCAAGGTTCTATTCTGTTCCAAATGTTGGGTGGGTAGTAAAATACATGCTGCACACTGTCTGGCACGACTAATGACGGCCTGTAGGACTTGTGCAGCGTGCGTCCTGTGTATTATGCCCCGGAGCTCATCCTATATTCACCGCTGGCACTTTAAATCATTTCACCGACTTCTGCCTCTAACTTGGACCCAGCCGACCTCTGCTAATATTGTATCGTGACGTAAACAGGGGCGGAGCTAGCAGATGGGGGGCTCAAGGCGGATTTCAGTTTGGGGTCCGATTCTGAAATGTGCGTTTACAAATAAAAACAAACTTTATCGCAACTGCATTATGTGTTTATATAAAGGCAAGGCGAGTTTATTTTGGCAGTTCACACACAATGACACGCAAAGTGGTTAACAAAATAAGATAAGAAAAAAAATCATGTACAAGGCATTCACATCTGAACTAATCACCGTAGTAGAAGCCCGTCTCACATTTTCAGAAACATTTTAGCTGCTTAAATCTGAAATGTTGCCTCGCCATGTTTTAGTCTTGACTCCGGGCACCAGCAGGAGGCCAGTCCCTGTGCTCCTCAGAGTCCCAGCAGGAGGTCGGCCGAATTGGTTCATACGGTTGGTTCAAATTGTGTACAAGGCTTTTCAATATGCTTTACAAGAGAAATTAAAAACAGAGATCAAAAAGGCAACACAAATACAATGAACAAAAACCATTAAAACCATTTCATATCAAAACATGCAACTCAAGAAGTCTTGGGCCTAAAACTTTATTCAAATGAGGGACTAGAAACAAATAAATAGTACAAAATGGAATTAGTTGCATGCACATATATGGTTTTAACCTAGTTTTACACATGGTCAGGGCAGAGGCCTGTCTCACAACCTCAGGAAGACTGTTCCATATTTTAGGCACGTACCACTGAAATATTGACACTGGGCAGTTATTTTTCTCACTAAAAGACACATTGGGAAAACAACATTAGATCAGTGATGGGCAATTATTTTACCCTTGAGGCCTCTTTGGGACAAAGAGAAACACAGTAGCCACAAAATCCATTTTCCGTTTTCTGTGCTTGTGGAACATTTGTGTATAGCTTTTACCTCTGTGGCCATGTTGTTGTTTTCACTTTTTTACAATACAGACGCATTTATTGCACATTTTCTATCATTGAAAATAAGCTGGTTTTATATTTTTGTTGTATTTTTGGAACAAAATGAGTACAAAAATAGTTATGGCTATATAATGTAGACAGATGAAATGTGATCAATTATTACTAATTATGGTTTGATTGAAATGTTTAAAGCAAAATAAATGATGTTGTGTATTTCTTCTTCTTCAGCTCCAAAAATTAGGTATAACATGCCATAGTAGCACAAATAAAGTTAACAGCCTTTATGGGGTTAGACATCAAAAGGGAAATCAACTTTTTGAGATTTAAACCATTTTACAACATAATGCTCATCAAAAAGAGACCTGGCGTTGTTTTTAGATCCATCCACACTAATATCTGAAACTTCTGGCACATACCTGTGACTCCGCCCCTTCTGTCTAAAAGCTGTCTCAGTCCTGTAAAAGTATGATGTCATAGATGTCATACACACAGAGCAGTTTTCTGTCTTTTAAAACAAAAGTATTGTCCATAATTTACTTTTTGATTTTCTCAAGTAAAACTACAATCTTTACAAATACATGTGTGTGTTTTTGGCCTGTGACTTTTTTAATTAGGAAAAAAAAAAATCCCCTCCTCTCTCTGGTGGCACCATAGGTTGGTTACCATAGTTACAGAAAAGCATTTTCTTTTAGCCTTCATACTTGTTTTACCATACATTTTTCTACTGAATATACTTCACATTCATGAACATGAAATACTAATATAATAATAGTAATAGTAACTGATGTAGATGCACCTTAAGGCAAGGCAAGGCAAGTTTATTTGTATAGCACAATTCATACACAAGGCAAAGTGCTGAACAAAACGTAAATAGTCACAGTATATTAAAAGGAGAACAGATAAAATCCTTCAGTTGTATGCACAGCTACAGAACTGTTTTTAACCTGGATTTGAACATTGTCAGAGAAGAAGCCTGTCTCACATGTTCAGGAAGACTGTCCCAGGTTTTTAATTGCGTGAATCGGAAATGAAGCCTCCTCCATTGTTTTAAAATCTGACTCTGATACCTATACCTTTTTAGACAATTGTTTTTTATTTTTTTGAGGGGCCCCAAGATGCCCCTTACTGCTGCCTACTGTATCGCCGGCCCTGGTCCTAAACAGCCTGCTGCACGTACCTGTGTGTAGGAGAAAGTGTGTGTCTCTGTGGGTAACTCTGACTCAGACACTTTTACGTGGCCAGAGCTGTCAGACTGCGAGCGCTCGGCACCCACAGTGTTAATGCAGAATGTCAACGCAGGAGGGAGCCTTGTTAAAAAGCAATTAAGACAAAATGGTTTAAACATTGTGTGGTTAGTTGTGTTGGCGAGAAGCGAGCTACACACACTGTTGTTGTCCTGAAACCAGAATCTCTGTGTCTGCTCCCTCTGCACACGGCTATTTGTGAACACACACTCCTGACCACACTTTCCCACAACCCCGAACCGAGCGACCACAGACACACACATACACGTACACAGCACTGAGACACATATGCACCCTCACACACACACACACTCACACACAGATACACACACAGACATATACTATACACGTAAACACACAGAGACACACATTCATGCACCTACACAAATGTATACACGCACACACATGCATACACAACCACACACACACACACACAAACACTCACAGACACAAGTATACACACAAACACATACACATGCACATACACTCACGCGCACGCACACACACGCAAACTTACATAGACACGCATATTGACACACTCGCAGACACACACACACACACAAATGTATACACACACGCACACACACAGAGGTAATTGAAGGTTGGTCTAGTTTTTGCTGCATTAAAACAGAAGCAGCGTTAAATGACAGGGGCTGAGGCTGATGTCTGAGCAGGAGCTGATGGCTGCGCAGGACGTGGCACTCACTCTTCCATTCGTTAGTATCATGGGTACAGTATCACAGGTACAGTTTATTTGTATAGATCATGCCATAACAACATTAGCTTTCTGCCTGTAGGTTCCATCTTGTGGCTGCGTTGATCGGTTTGGCTGAGTTTGGTGTTTGGTCTGTAGACTCTCTCGTTCTGTTGGGATGTTTATGATGGACATACACTGAAAATATATCATTAAAAAAAATGTACTTGATGAACTTTGAATCATAATCATATATTTATGTTCAGGAGCTGCTTGCAAGTTCTTTCATTTTAAAAGCTGCAGGACAAAACATAATTTTTTCATAAACAAAATGAAAATGTTTAACCTGGAGGTCTTTTTGCGTAGTCAGAAAACGTCTTGTGCTTCGCTACTTCATGCTTTGGGCTGGCAGCTGATTGGCTGAGTGAAGGGGGTCCTCTCTCTTTTCGTTTCTGTCTGAAAAATCTGATCTACAGAAGTGAAAACTGGTGATAAAACCAAGCTGTTTTGAGAAGAATAGATTCAAGATTCTATTAGTCAAGAATCAGCGTATTAGCCATTTGCAGTAAAACCACATTGGAATAACTGTGCAAGACTTCCCCAGTGCACCCTCAGAGAGAAACATGAATTTTACTACAGTTATTTTGTATGGTTTGAAATCGAGATCCCCAGCTTTCAGCCTTTAAGAAAGCAGTATAACTTTTTAGTTCCTGCTTTTTCTAAGATGTATGAGCACTTTGTTTTGTTTTTTTATATTGAATTTTTTTATCATTAAAGGGCTTTACCAAATGGTGGCGATGCACTTGGATGGTAAAAGTGCCTAAAACCAAGTAAGATGCCCCAAAGAGGTAGATTTTGGTCCCAAACAAGCTTAAAAGTAGATAAAGTGACTCAAAAAGTGATCCACCAAATGTTTGAGGAAACCATTAAAGGGTTAATAAAACAGCTAGCATACCATTATTTACTGTACTGTCATTTGTATGTCCCCAACATGAAGTAAGAAGCTTATAGTTCAGCTCCCATCCTCGGCGAGCCTCGATCATCGCCGCAGCAGACGCATCAGCGCTGTTGGCAGAGCGCACGCTTTCTCCTCGTGCAAATGTGCTCATCACAGCCAGACGCTTGGATGTGGTTAAAACATCTGTGTGGTCTCCAGCTCAGAGGCAGCAGACAGAGGAGAGACAGAGGAGAGGCTGGGGCTGAGGGAGGGGCGCTGTGCTGGACCCCAGACTTTCCAACGCCGACGTCTGTGTGTGTGTGTGTGTGTGTGTGTGTGTGTCTGTGGCGCGGTGACAGTGACAGGCGCAGTCTCGTGCATGAGTTATGCCCATGAGTGTGGAGTCTGGAGAGTCGCACTGGAGGCTCAGAGATGGGGGCTCGGTACATAAGGCCTGGTCCAAAGCTGCGGTTGCCTCCACCACCAGCAGCCCTGTGTGTGTGTCTGTGTGTGTATATGTCTGTACGTGTGTTTGTGTGGGTCTGTGCATGTGTTTGTGTGTCAGTCTGTGTACATGTGACTGTGCATGTGTGTGTCTATGTCCCTGTGTGCATATGTGTGTGTATGAGTCTGTGCAGTGTGCATATGTGACTTTGTGCATGTGTGTGTATGTGTATGTGTGTGTGTGTGTGTTGTGTTTATTTATGAGGCAGTGTAACCACGGCGCGGTCCCTGTGGTGGACTGATACAAGACGACAGCCCAAACGTCTTGCCCTAAAAGTGCAGCCTAATGGTCGCTTAGTGCAGTGAGACAGGCAGTGGAACAGGCGCCTGGGGTCTTTTCATAGGGGCCCCTGAGCAACACATCAGCTCACACATCAGGGCCACCTCCAGGGCTTTATTACTACCTGCTCGTGCGGCTGTGGCGCCACTCACTTAGCAGCGGCTGTGTGCTCAGAGACAATAGGAGCGTGTCAACACCTTTCAGTTGTTTTAACACAGACATGGACACTGCTGCACTATTGACTTTTTTCTGTTTGAAGTCTGCCAGAGTTTAGACAGCAGGTCTCATCAGGATGCATCAGGCTGCATCGGGCTGCATCAGGCCGCAGCAGGCTGCATCAGTCTGCATCAGTGAATAACAGAAAGACACTGTTGGCTATTGTAATGTTAGGGATCACTTAGAATCTGGAACATGATCGATCTCATTCTTTTATACATTTCAAATGGAGCAACACTTTGATCTGATCCAAGTGTTTCAACACACACGGCAACCTGTGCGTTCACACAGTCACGAGTGAACTCTAGTTCACTTTAAGTGAACCAAGCAGGGCACAAGTGTGACACCACCAGAATGACCAACGGGCCAGATGTACAGTCTGAACATGCCTCGACTGGAAGTTCATTTGTCTCACACATTGTGTTCATTCCAACAGAAATAAGCGTCATTTTCGTGCAACATGCTGTTTTATTTTATCAGAGAACATCTTTTACACTGACAACAGTCTCAACAGCTGATCTAAAGATGAGGCAGACCCTAACTGTGGTAGTAATGTGTTCTGGTTTCAGAGTTAGGTACTGCAACTTTAAGCTGCCTGAACAGTGAGCAACAAAGGTGAATGTTATTCATCTGATTCTAAGCGATATAAGAGAAAGATAAATAGAGGTGATCTGCGTAAACACACATCCATAGAAAAGACCAGTCTGTGTGGGCTCAGCGACGCAATTAGATGCTTTCTGAGAGGAAGAGCAGATTATCATCAAAACCTTGGGCATTGCTCAGTTCATGTGAACGAGGATGTTTGTTGTAAGAGTGTGTCTGTCAAAGATCCACTTGGTCGTGGTTTTGATCCCAGCTCTGGGATTTAGGAGAGGAAACAGGGAAAAGTCACCAAATGTAGCCACAAATCCCATGGGAACGTACTTTCTCTTCAATCACCTGTCCCTGTGCTCCTGTCGCCTAGTGCCAAACACAAACAGCAGAGGCAGAGCTTTGATGAGAGATTTCCAATCTGTGGTTCTGGAGCAGAGTAAATAAGTGCACACTGGACCAGACGGAGAGTCTCATCAACCTGTTTGTGCCGCCGTTTCCTCCTGCTCTTATGCAGCTTTTGTCCAAAGTCATTTCACTGGATTAAGATCCTTTCATCTGCAGGAACATCCACCACAGCAGTCGTTTTGACTGCATCTAACTCACTTCTTTCATTTGACGATGGATTTAAGTCATTAGGCCTGTTCCCACTGTGGCCCGTGTTTGACATGAAATGGCATGTTGCCAGGACAACAGTGGGAAAGACGCGTGTGTTGTTTAGACCACTGTCTTTTCTACCACAAGGAAGAAGAGGCAAAACAAAAGGTCAAAACAAACAAGTCTCAAAAGTCTCAAAAGCAGTCAGGACCTCAGCGAATACAGCACACGGCTTGTTTATCATCCATGTGGAGTGTTTAATGTTATATTATATTACATTATGAACGTGTGCAAAAGTGTTTGTTAATACCTCCTTCACCGCATCACGCCAACAGGCGACAAAACAGTTTGGTGTATTACAGCTGGAATGACCGGAGTGTTCTCACTGAACACACCTCGGAAACAAGAGCAAACTCCACATGGAAAAGCACGGTCAGGAGGTGGAACCAAACCTTCTTGCTGTGAAGGCAAGGCAAGTTTATTTGTATGACACAGTTCATACACAACAAAACAAGACAAGAAAAGAAACATTAGAAGTGTCAGGGATGAAGCAGACAGAGACAGATCGTGGTGCGCCAAACTCTGGAAGTTTATTTAAGTTTCTCTCAAGTTCCAGTGGTTTCCTTTGCTTCTTTCTCTCAGACAGAATAAAGGCAGTACACAGTTTATATAGTCATTGTCACGTCACACATGGAAAGACATACGTGTCACACAGAGACAGTCAAATCATAGTCAAAATAATCAGAGTCCTTGTACAGTCCTGCACGTAGGCCATATTGCTATCTAATACTAACACTCACCCCTTTGATCACATAATCACATGTGATCACTCAATTTGATCAATCAATAAAGTGAAAAAAAAAATGTCTAAAAAAAACTTAAAAAAAATACTAAAAAACAAAGAAAATGTATGCATTAAACTTATAATCAGAGTCCTTGTACAGTCCTGCACGTAGGCCATATTGCTATCTAATACTAACAGAAGCAAAAGTGAGCCACAGTGCTGCTAAGTGTATTTACAATAACACAATTGAGGGAAGGGAATGGGGCTGTAAGTGTATCTATTATACACATATACATAATAATACCTACATACATACATGCATAGTCCTACATAAATATATACACACACATACATACATACATAAAAGACATGGGTTAGCAGTCCCACTCAAGAAAGCTGTAGATGTTGAAACGAGACAAGAAAAACAAAGCACAATAGGCATCCACAGCAGACCGGACAGGTGATGTCACATATCCACTGTACCTTCACTGTAACTGTCATGGTTCGGACTTTCTATTTGTTTATCTGGTTTTATTTTGATATATGTTTGTGCTCTTGTGTCTCCCGTTGATTGTCTGCCCCGCCCTGATGTGTTTCACCTGTGTCTCTGTGCCTATATGTACCTGTGCTCCTGTACCTGTGCTCCTCTCCTCTTGTTGCTGGTCCGTTGTCCATGTCTGTCCTGCTCCTGGTTCTTTTGGAGTTTTGAGTTTTGTTTTTCCACTGGACTTTTATTGACATCATTCAATATTCAATTTTTTGCATTTCTCCATTTTGGCTTCTCTTTCATCTCACCCTGCAACATCAACGAATGGATTAGTGCTGTCTGTTTACATAACCTATAATGAATCCTAATTTGAGTACATTTCTGGCTGTCTTAAAACAATATTTACCAATCGGACAAAACCATTTAGTCTCATTCCAAGGGACACTTTTCTTCACAAGATACTTTTGCTCGCCCATCGGCTAATCTGGTTTCAAGGCAGTTCAAATGTGCTCAAATTAAGAATACATTTTACCAAACTTTCGCTACTTCTGACTTTTTTCCTATCCCTTTTTGCAGTGCAGCAGTGTGACACTGTTAAACCCTCGCTTAAAAAAAGTCCAAAATAACATCTGTTTTGTTACGTCTGGCTCTTGTGTCGCTGTCTGCTAATGCGTTTTTTTATGTAACCACCTGCAAAGCAAACGAGGTAAGCTTACATTGTGTTTTTTTAATCTCCAATTGTCTTTAACTAGGCAAGTGATGTCAAAAGCCTTCACTGCTGAGTCCTTTAGAAGAAGTCATCAGGACAGATTAAGGTCCCGTCTAGACACAGGCTGCGGTGGGACTGTGTTTTCTTTTCATATTAGCTCAGGCTTTGTTGGAGGTGTAGATTATCCCCAGTCAGTCCCAGCGGCTCGGGCCACTCTCTGCTCTAATCTGTGGGGGGGGGGGACAGTGGAGTTGATTTAGTTCTTTGATGTCTCCAATACTGATGAGCTGTTTCAGGGGTCTCCAACCTGTGGCGCTGCCGGTAGCTCGCCTTCCCCTTTTCGGGTAGCTCCCCAAAGGGTTCAAGAATTTAACACATGATCCTGAATTATTCACCTTTGAGTCTTCACATGATTTGAATTGTGTTTTTAATGGTGATTTTGGTGTTTTATGTGAGGATTTGTGCTTTGTTTGGTGTGGACTGTGCCGAGCTTTGTGTTGGAAAATCCATCATTCAATTTTATTCATAAGTAAGTAAGTAAGTAATCTTTATTTATATAGCGCCTTTCACAGACCCGAGTCACAAAGCGTTTTACAATTGTTATGGGCATTTGTCATTCACTCCACAGAGAGAAAGGAGCGGGGTTGCCAGTACAGGAGGCACATGCCAGACCTATTGTACATGTTTTTAGTGGTAGGGAAAACCTACGCTGACACAGGGAGAACATGCAAACTCCACTCAAACCCAGGACCTTGTTGCTGAGAAGCGAGAGTGCTATCTACTACGCCACCGTGACGCCATCAAAGTGCTTTACAATAAAATCACATAATATCCATTGAAACGCTTATGCAATCAAAAAAAATAAGCTGTTAAAAAGCAGTAAATGAGTGTTTAAAAGTGTTAAAAGCCAGTCTGAATAAATACATTTTGAGCCTTGATTCAACAAGGCCAAAATCAGTGAGGACACGCATGTCAGTTGCAGCTTGTTCCAGAGTTTGGGTCCA